AAGCAGCAACCTTGCCCTCCGTGAAAAGAGCGAGCAGCCCCGCGGGCACAGAACAAAAATAACACCCTGGGAGAACAGAGTCTCCCCAAGTCTTCAGTCATTTAAATGAATTCTGCTGCAAATATGCAAGCGAACAATTCTGATCTAACCATAACCCTCCAAAAGTTTACCTCAGCAATACCAAAACTACTTTAAAAAGACGCTCTGCAAATTAATGTTACGTGGCTTCATGCTGAGACAGCTGAGAAAGCAACCTTTAGACTAAAAGTCGAAATTAACCCAAATTTTAAGTAACTATAACATCAATTTAGCTTTGCAGGGCCGCTGTGAGGGCTCTGTTCACCCAAGTCTGGAGCCGCCCCAGATAGCCCCTCAGACCCCATCCCAAATCCTCAGACAGACTGATTTATTTCAAACTGAAATAAACAGTTCAGATTAAACAACCAGAAACAGGATAAAGTAGTACCACCATTTCCTACTAGTTTACAGCAATTGTTTAATTGTTTCATATATGTAAAAACAAGAACTTGGCACCAACATATCTGTAATTTTTTCCATTAACACAAATGCATTAAAAACAATGATATGGAAATGCACAAAGGCATTTCAGTTAAGGCTTCTACAAATATTGCATGTTCTATAATTAAACATCAATTTGTAAACTTGTTCTAAAAACTTTCCAAGAAACTGGCTTGAAATATTGATCACATTAAATTCATTAATTCAACCCTGCTCAACCATCTAAAACCTACTATATTTCACAATAAGAATGAATCTGGCTCTTGGCTGGCATCACTTTGTCCAAGGGATGCTTGGAAGGCCAATTCCTAGTATTAATGTCAGAAATCAAGGAATGAAATTATTTAAAATTTTCCTGTATTGATATGATGCTTTTGCTGAGCTCCATATTTTATGGGCAGAATTATACTTCTGACCATACCAATGAAAAAATTGTCACACAGCCATGCTRTTAATAATCTCAGCTTCAGAAGGTCAGTGATTCTGCAAGTAAACATCAGGAGAAAGTGTGGTGGCAAACCACAGGGGAACACCCTGTCTCATCCCTCCATCTCCTACAGCCAAATCATGGCAAGAACATCCAGGGCACAACTGAAGGAGACCAGCACCCTGAATCTCTCAATTTTAATGTACAGTGCAGTGCCAGCCATAATTTAGCTCTAGTTTTACAAAAATACAGACACAAGAGCCACAATAATTTACAAAAGAGGTTAATGGCTCATTCCCACAACAAACTGAATGCCTCAGAATGCAGCCAACATCTGTGGAACATCTTTTAATTCTTGTAGATCTCTTTTCCCTCCCTGCCAAGACTACTACAGCATTTAAAAGATGTCATGAACACTGAATTTTTGAGTAACTCAAATTTCCTGAATGGACACAAGAGAACACAAGTTCACAACAGGGCAGCAACAGCCCTAATTATTCATGTTCCCATGTTTGYTTTGAAGCAACTCAGGTAACAGCACAGAAAGTTAACACAGAAAGCATTGAAAGCTCTTTGACATTTCCTTTCAAGTCTTATCTGGCTACTCTTAATTTCACTACTAAAAAGTTTGGTAATTCACCAGTGAACTTTGACAACTGCACCCCTTTTACAAYCACCCATACACACACATATTAAATCAAACAAGGCAAAAATCAATGTATGTCAAGTAAAATATACAAATAGTTTTGGGCTTTAGGTGATACTTTCTTGGTAAATGTTTTTCGAACTAGTCCTTGTCTGTGTCCGCTATGAAGATTGTTTTTCCTGCAATAATCTGTATTGATTCACATCTGCAATGCTTTTTTTTGCCACTTTAATACAAAGGAAAAGGAATGTTGGCTATCATCAGCAAAACTTGCCACAATTACTACTACATCACTGCATAGAAGGTGGATTGYTGCTGAGTTTTTGGGTTGCTTTAACATGCGTTTTCTTGTAATGCTAGGAAGAAGTTTCCCGTTCTATCCTAACAGGAAATAACCATTTGGGGTAAACAATCTCCATCAAAATAGGTAGAAGTAGGAACATTTTTAACATCTATGAAATCCAAGTTTGTTTAGAAAGAGAGGTGAATGAAACAATTGCTCCTGCCATACCAGATAAGGAGAAACTGGAACACTATTCTTGTGAGTGGCTTTGTAATAGTTATGCATCCTGACTATTGAGCAATTACAGGACATGGATACATCCTGTTGGCAASACAAAAACACCCTGTTTGATTAGATGTTTAACTGACCAAACTGCTACAACATTAAAACCTTTTTGTCTTGCATCTACATCAACTTGCAAGAACTTACTGCCATCAAGATCTTTGTCAAGAGAACTAAATGAAGATAAAAAAGGTGTCCTCTTTTATGTATTATTAAACAAAATCCCTGTCAATTCAATCCTTTATTCTAGCATATTTTTTATGACAGATAAATGTAAATTATTTTATCCTTACTAATTTGATGGGTTTATATTTCCTAACTCTGTTTTGTTGTAAATTTTCCTTAGACTACTTTTGTCATAAGATTGTTTTTAATCTCTAGAAAATATTTAACGAAATCAGATAAGCTAACTGCTGTTAGCATTCATAACCAAAGCAGGTTGTTACAGACTGTATAGCAGTCAAAGAAGCACTGAATACCTGATCTTCTGCATCCCTAAGCCAAYAGTGTCTTTGGCTATGTAGGTAGCAATATTTACAAAATCACCTTGACTTTATGCACTAGGGATAATCTGCTTTGTAAAAGAAAAAGCAAAATTATAAAAGTTTTCAATCACACTTGGAAACTGTAACATACATAAAAAGATSAACATTAAATATATACAATATAAAAATACATTTTTTCTTTATGAAAATATAATACATAGCTATAACATACAACATGTTGAGCCATCAGTCACAGCTACAATATTTACAGATTCTTGYCCCACACTTATGGCTGGACTCTGGGTAGAACATCTCCCTGAGGAAATTCCTGGATTTCAGAATGAAACATCAATTCTAAAAGAGAAAGCAAAAGAAAATGTTTGCTTAGAAAACTTTCACCTGAATATAATTCCATTATTCCTGAAAAGTATCCTGGGCATTCCTCCAAGCCTCCTGCTTTTCATCCCAATCATATCATCAAAAACACAGTGATGGCAAGTGCCACCAATTTTTTGGAAARCCATTGTTGCTCCCCAAAATTGACAGAATTGGTGACAATATTAGCTGTTGGTCATATGTAGTACCATTGTGCATTCAACACGGACACTGAAACACAACTCTGAAGTAGACTGAGGGATTGTTAAAGTTTTGAGAGTGTCAGATTCAGGAAGGAAGAATTCTTTTTAGAGACTCATCCATTTTTAGATGTATCTGCTCTGTGTTTCGCAGTGGTAAGTCAGCAGCACTAGAATCTGGCTYAGAAAGAATCACACATGAATGATACTTGCTCACAGCTCTCACCATGGCAGCTCAGGCCTGGGAAACAGCCCATGGTCAGCAGTGAAGTGCTCCTTGTGAAGAACCTGGATATGCACAGTCAGCATCTCATGAAATAGCCCTTGTGGAGCTCTGAGCTGCTGCAGGTAGAGTTTTTTCCATCTGGGTTTCCTTACATACCTACACTGCACCTCAGCACAGGAATGCTGTCTTGCTGCCTGCACATCCAGCACATCGACCAGGCAGTGTTTGCCAACAACTTGTTAAAATTGTAAAGTTTCAGTACATGCAGTCATGTGGTTTATCCTCTCAAGTTTGAGAGCCATATGCTTTTGCTACCCCATCCTTAGCAGACTAAACTTTCTCTACTATTTGGAGTAAGTCCTCATGAAGTTCTCTATAGAAACTTCCGAAGCTGTTTTCCAATCTTAGTAGGCACATGTAAATATAAAAAAAAATAATCAAAATTTGACTAAAATTCTGCCATTGAATTCCTTGAGTCTGTATTATTTTAAAAATGGGTTTTAAATATTATTTAAACATCTGTTACAAATTTTATCATCAAGCACTGTAAAGGCTGCCACCTAGCCGTTTGGGGATCTTTACATCTTTAAATGAGTTATTAGAAATAAATATAAAGCTAGAGCCATTTGAAATACAGACACCTGTACACTAAAATTCTGAARTAACTTGAGGAGATATGTTGAATCCTCAGCCTCTCAAACACAAATCTGTGCTTCAATTCATGYTGTTCTTAGGATACCTGTAGACTTTGAAGTTGAAACTCAGTGTTTTTATGTACAGCATACTTCCAAGTGACAGGCTGCTCAGTTATAAYACACATTTTGGATCCCAGATGGGACACCAAAAGAAGTAGGCCTAGTTTCTAGCCAAGTTGCTTCTAGGAGAAGAACTTGCTTGCCTGCTCCTCCAGCCTGAACCAGCACAAGCAGTTCTTATTTAAGTCCTGTTCTGCAAGCACAACTCTGAGTTTTCAAAGCTTGGAAGTTCCCAAAACTACTGTATTGTTGTATTGAAAATAATACTGGACTTGTAATGTGTTAAATACGTGCAGAAAGAACACTAATAACAGGGAATTTTCGAAAACACAAGTAGAATAAATACATTTCAATTCAAATACTGCTAAARTATTTAAAATTATTTTTCTCTGTAAAGAGACATTCTGTAGTTAATTTCAACATTCACATTGCTTCAGACAAGACAAATAAGGCTTTTCTTTCCTTTTTAAACTAATGTTTATAAAACCAAAATGAGGCGCCAGCATCCTAAGAAGCATTTGCTGTGGAAGGTTGCTAGGAGACTCTTATTTTTCCTCAGTCACAKTATTTCTCAGGACTAGTCTTCAATACCAAATGCAGAGCACAACAGATAAAAAAAAACCAAAAAACCTGAATAAACAACGTTTTGCCTATTAATGTTTCCTACCTTCACTGTGGTCTAGCTCTGGTCGGGACGACAAGAAGATCCAACTTGTCCCAACTAGAACTGACACCACCAGATTCACCACAACCCATGAATAAACAATTTCTTCCTCTGTACCTGCGGTCCTGGGAAAAACACATCAATCCATCAGTCATCACTGGTACACACAGGTTACAATAACAATTTCAACAGAGTATCATCAAAATAAGTTTGCTAAGTCTGATGTGAAAAGAGAGCTACTTGTGCCATCATGACTGTCTTGAATTGCAGAGGCCTGGTAAAGAGAACAATTACCAAAGACAGCTAGCAACTCAGCTAAGAAACCCCATTATCTCATATACAATGTCCACATGTATATTTCAACAACAAATTCCTTCTCTTGGTCAAGAGACAGAAAACAAAAATCAAAATGCATGGTCAAATTTTACAAAATGCCATCAGCTCATCTTATTTTTAAGCACTTTGTCATGAGTCAGCAAGGCACGTGAACAGCAAGTCAGTAACATCTGTCTGGAAGCCAGTGCAAGGACTTGTGYACAGATGCTGTGGRCTAGATGAGATAGGCCTTTAAGAARCTATGATTTACATTAGCTGAAACTTTTCTCACTGCCATACCAGTAGCAGGTTATGGTTTTGTTACTAGAATCTAGGCTYTTTAATAAACAACTCAACGAACATTTATATAGAAACCCTAAACCACTCCCAACCCCCCACCTAAACTTACTGCCCAAACCAGCAAATTTTTACATACATGTTTTTGTTCTACTTCTCCTGATTTACTTTAAAAACTTGTGCTACCAGCATTTGAGTCCATGAATAGGTACTTCAGAAAGTAACTATTGTGAATGGGATCACCTAACATGGAATGGTGGTTTATATTTAAATGCCAGCTGTCTCTGCTAAGCCTGTGGCAGACTTCTTCAAAAACAGTGTTGACTGTCTACAGAATGTCCTGCCCTTGAACCCAAAATGATTACCTCAGTAGGGTCCCACTTCTCAAGCAAACGAGATTCTCAGGGTTCCTGCCAGATGACATTTCCAGCATCATTACAACTCTTGTTTGAGRTATAATGGATTTGCAACCAACATGACCAAACTCATCCTCAAGTTATTTTTCAGCGAAAATATCTAATATTCAGGACAAGTTCAAACAAAGGCAGGTTCAGAAATAAAATCCCTCATCAATACTTTCTTGCATATCTTGTACAACCTCTTCAATCTGCCAGTTTGACAAGGGTTCCTAAGTGAGCTATGTTAAAATTTACAGAAGTGATTTCKTAAGTTTCCTACCAGATGCTGCCATTTTCCAAAGGTGGTGTGTAGAGGTTGATTCTGTCACATGTCATCTGCTGGCTTAAGGATAAGATAAGAGCAGCAAAGTACACTGTAAGAAATGGAATTATTAGTGTCAGATATAAACTCCCAAAATGCTGTCTCATCATGACATGGTACTAATCACTACATTTTCTTTCCTTTCACTCCACTGCCTACAGTGATAGTCTCCTTTAATTCATTCTCCCTTCCTTAACACTCCCCTGACCCATCAAAATCTGATTTCTGCACTTCTGCAATCCATGAGCTAAATCAAATGCTGCATCTTGTGATTCTGGTTTTTTGTTAGGTTTGTGTTCTATATTCAGAAACGGAAAAGAACTACCTCACTAACAGCCCCACTAACACCACTCTTGCAAATGCTTTAAAAAATATGTAGCAAAGAGTTTATGGCCTTTGCTATTATCAGCTACTGAGCAGGTCATTTATTCTAAAGCAGAAAATAACCTGGGAGGAAGATTTCACTAAAAAGGGTATATAGGAGTTTTCCATGTACCATATTTTCTGGAACTTCCTACCCACTTCAAAATACTTACAGAAAGAAGCTAGTGCTGCTGGATCTAGGGTAAGAAAGCCCCTCAGTGCAACTGATGCTTTTGCCAAATCAATCCTGAAAACAAAACCAAGAGTCATTAAGATAGCCCAGTAAAACAATTATATTGTTTCTCTAATAGTATTCTATTGTTTTGGGTTTTTTTTACTTTTTGCAAGTTATTTTTGCTGCCTCTGTAACAGTTCTTTCATAAACAGCTATATCCCACACATGGCAATGGTCCCCATCATGCCAGTTCCAAGAAGGACTGAAACAAAGGAGGATGTTCCATGAGGTCTTAGCTTTCACACTGAACACCTTTCTGAAAAAGGGAGAATATGGAGACATCTGTCCCATCTAATTCTTGTCATTCAGTTCAGTGTCCATGCTATTAAAACTGCTTACATTGCTTACAGGAGCAAACAAGAATAACTGAGAACTCCTCCCTGACATCATTTCAGGAAAAAAAAGTCACATTTTTTTCCACAGCACCAACTCCTCTCCTGGCTTATTATGAAAAGGATCTCTAAGTAAAACAAACATTTGCAAGTAACATCCATTAATCTAGTCTGGTTTATGATCTTTTTTGAGCTCCTTTCTTTTCATTCCCACTCAATCTGTAATGCAGAAACCCTGGCTAAGCCAGGRAAACTGTTCACATAGCTACGTTTCAAACCTGACAAGGAATGGACTCATATGAAAAGTAATTTCATAGAAACATTTGTTGTTCTCCACCCCTCTTCACAACCCAGCCTCCAAAAAAGCAGGCCTGCTCTTACATTTGTTTCCCCCTCCTCATCACAAAAACAGGAGCAGTACAATGAAGCAGGGTGCAAGCACTGGACAGAAATGAGTACCAAAGGTCTGGATGCACAAGTACACCCTTTCTCGGCATAGACAGCCACATGAAAAATCATTCTTGAAGTTTATCAGTTAAATCACCAACAGCAAATCAAAATGTGCCATAGAAAGGAGAAAGGAATATCTTATACACAATTTACATACACCTTTCAAATACAAATATATTTTACCTGTCAAAGGCTGAGATTGTACTGATAGAGAGCAAAAAATAGAATAAACTTTGAGCTGGGTAKGCTATTGTCTTATACTGTTCAAGCAGGTTAGAAACCGTGGAAAGCTGACTTCCTGCCAAAATGTAGATAACCACAATGTTCCATACAGCATATCCAGCAAGGAAGCCATGGGTAAAGAGTCCCAGCACCCTGAATGGAGGAAAGAACATTACACCAGTTTTAACATCTTGAAATAGCTACAATCGAAAAGGCTTGTGAATCCATCTTTTCAGCTCTGCTTTTCAAAGCGTTTCAGAGATTGTTTCTGAATGCTTTTTCTGATCTAGTTTTAAAAATTCTAAACAAGAGGACTTCTAATTTCTCCCTTCACAGACTGCACCAGAACCTGAGCACTTAAAGAAAACAAAGATGTTTTGCCTTCCCTTCATGACAGTTATGGGAATCAAATACTTTTACTTGTGACTGCCTGTAGTTTCCCAATACCACTGCACCTTACACAATGTTCTAAGTAGTCCCCAAGGCTGTCTTTTCATTATCTTCATTGCAAAGGAAAAGACTGAGAAAGAAGCACAGGCTTCCAGATAAAACACACCATAGAAGAAAATGGCTGTTATCTTCCCATTCTCTATCACAACAGAACCACATATTAAAAAATACAAAATGTTTTCGCTATTATGTGCAAGCTCATTCCCCCAGTCCAATTTCACTCCTCCCTCTTTTTCACTAACCAGGATTTTTCTTAGAGAACTATCTGAATCCAGGTATTTTTATTCTGGTGATACATATGATGGGTCRGTCTTATTTTCTAACACATTTCTGTAGGTGACTAGTATTTTGGTTATCAGCTCAATCTCTTACACCTGTTGCATCCTGAACCACCATTTATTAGGAATATCCAAAAGAAATAAAAATACATCAGAACCACAGAGGACAGGCACTAATTTTCAGGACTAAAAAATAAAACCAAGTAAACCCAAACCCCTGATTTATGTTTAGTTACATCAGAACACTTATCTTTCACCTGAAACTTCGGTGCACTGAGAGGGCAACATCTCGAGTAGTCCATGAAGCCTTCACATCCAGAAGYACATTGATATTTTCAGTGGTTTTAATAATTTCTGCACGGTCAGCAGCCTGAAAACGCCCTGAAGGGGTAAGTAAATCAGTTTTAGAGAGCTCTGCTTCCTCTCATCATCATTTCTACTTTAATATTCAGTGTTACAAAGCTGTAAGCATCAGAATTTCCATTAGAAAATTTTTTCACCCCRCTTCCTGCCCTTTGTCAGCTTACATTGATACCAGGATAACTCTGGTCAGAGTGATGCATCCTRTTGGGTCAGTCTGGATTTCACAATTTTCAAACCACTTTGGGGCATTACTCAGTGTTCCCTTGGACAAAAAAAACCCAAACAAAACAACAGAAAAACCCAAAAAGAAAGTTCYTATTGGTATTGGCCCAGCAAAAAAYTTCYACTTGAAAGAYTTTTTGTAAGTAACAAWGTCKTGTGAAGGTACTGTGACAATATTAAGTCAAAAAAAGCTCAGCTGGGTACTTTAAAACAGTCTTTTTCATCCCCACCATGAAATAAAGAAATGCAGCCACATATATTAGCAGAGCAACACCAGCATTTGCTGTTGAAAAATTATTATGTATACTTATTTCCAAATATTTTTTGCTTTGGCAAACTTAAAAAAAAATTCTTCCCAATACTACMCTATTTGGATTTTATATACAATAATGCTTCCTTTATTTTCAAGAATGTCCTTAGATTACTTATATCCAAGATGAGCTTACGATTTTTTTCAACAAACACTTTGCTAACAGGCTGACTAATCCCAGTGGGAGCAGCAAACACKGGCTGCTGATCTGGGCTCCTTCTGTGCTCATCTTCAATGATGTCTTCCTCCTCCACTTCCAGCTCATTGGAACAGTGCATTTCAGATGGCCGAGATTTCCTGTTGGCACAGAACATGCAATGGGACAGAGAAAGAACAGGAAGCAACGTGCAAAATCCAAAGGCTCCTGTAAACATTTTAACATGTCTAACTTGACTGACTGAGAAGTGGTCACATTACTGACCTGTATAATATTACCCCAATTATAATTTTAAGGACTAAAGTTCCCACAAAGGTGTTTGACTAAAACTGTAAGACTAATTCCATATCAAGAGAGTAAAAATTAGAACATATAAGAACAACTGGGTGAAAAAATATGCTAACTCCCATAAAACTGAGATAGTAAGAATGAAAGAAAGCAATTCCACATTATAATTTTTTTGCATCTGTGACTGAACTATTGGGCTCATGAAAATATGTTCAGAGCTGTAATGCMTCCAGGTATGCATAGACCAAAGAAGTGAAAAAAGTTAGATCTTAACCTGGAAAGAACTGTATACAGGCTGAATGGTATTGTAGGCTATTATTTACATTTTTGTAAAATGACAGTGTAAAATACTCCCCAGCCACATTCACTGTCACAGTTATTCCCAATTATGAACTATACTAGTTTTGTCTCACTTTGTTTTTTTCCTCTGTTTGCGTATCACTGTTTCTTCAGCTTCAGGGTCATCCATGCCATTTCCATTCTGAAATAGGGATGCCACATTTTGCTGGGTAAAAGATGTCTCAGAATCTGAAGATTAAAAAGAAAATAACCCAACGTGAATGTTTCAGAGTTTTCATAAAAATGGAAATACCTTTACCTAAATACATAAATAGTTATTATATAAAAAGAGTGGCAAAAAGCACAATCTTCTGAGTTTTCGATTATGTTAAATATAATTTCCAAAACTATATTGCCATTATTTTGTACCCCATGAAATCTGAAACCAGAAAATGAAACTCTAAGCTACCACTCACTCAGAGATTACTTTCAGCTGTTCTAAGTAAAAAAAGGCCATGAAATGTTTTAAGCCAAAATACACATCCTGACCTATTTCTGTGTTACCAAGTTTTATTTACTGCTCTTGCCAATCTACAASTATTTCACATACCAACAGGAACTTTCTTCTTCTTGCGTTTCCTCTGAGGAGGGACATCAGGAGGTTCAGGAGTTAGGGGCTCACTGCTTTCAGACTGCCGGCGAACTGCTGCTTGGACAATACCATCTAAAAAACACATGAAAAGATCCAGCAGCTTGAATTCAGAGCTACTGAGAAAAAGCTGCCATTTACTACATTGTTGGCCAGGTGAGCAACAAATGAGATGAAAATGCATTGGATAGGAAATATAAGAGTTGGGAATCAATGATGAGAAGTGGAAATATACAGAGGTATTTCACTGTAAYAGTTTCATGCTCAGGAAGGAATTTAAATATCCAAAAATCCAAGAAGTAGCACAGTTCCCATTTGGGCATACAGCAAAGRACTGCCTGAAAAAATCCACCACAGGAAAGAACTACACCTCTATATTTCTCTTTCCTACACGTAAAGATTATAATGCAAGAGACAAGAAAAAATTAACAGTTTATTACAAGGTGATCCACACAGGTATGTGCTAAGGCAAAATTTAAATGCTACACATACCATATAAGAATAAAGAAGGAGCAGAAAAAAACCCACTAAAAGATATTTACTCCAGTCTGAGAGATGAATTATTATACTAYAGAGGAATTACATTTTTGTGAGAGGTTAACATGAATTCCTTTATAGCAGCAGTAGCATCAATTTGCACGATCAATGCAGAAAGACAAAATTACTTCTCCAATTTACATCACATATGTTTTTTAATAGCTCCTTCAACGACTGTAGTTTTTATGACAACAACCAAATCTTTGTTTCTACTTCAAGCTCAGGTTTACCCGCCTTTCATAAACCTATATTGTGCTAAAATGCAAAATCAATCAGCAAAGTAATGTCAAAAGTCAAGGTGTACTTTGCTCCATTATCCAGCTCACTGAGAATAACAGTAGGCAAAACTTAATCCTTGGGAAATCTTGGCAGCAACAGCTCTACTTGTTGCATTTATAAGTCTTTCAATGAGGCCTCACTTTTAAGTGAATAAAGAAAGTTTACTCATCAAACTTTTATACGGACCCAAGTCAACTGGTTGCAGAAAATCACTAGATACTATTAACATGTTCAGCTTTATCAAAATAATCAGACTTACAGTCTTGCTTAAAACAATATGTTTGCTCTGCAGATCTGCTTCTTGTAAAAATACAAAGCTCTAACAGTAGTTAATCTTCTAAAGTCAACTCTTCTGTGATAATGGAGTGATTAACTTATGACTTTATTTGTCCAAGGATTGCAACTGAGCCAAATTGCTAAATGAGTTTTATCTTGGTTCATTCAAAAATTCAAGTGCTTAACACATTTAACATAAGCAGCTTACAGCTGGAAATGACTATTTAATGAAGTATGCAAAGTCACAAAGAAAAAAATAGCAGGAATAAAAKAACAGCTTTCAGTCTTGGCAGGACTTTACCTAATGGAGTCTTTCCTTTGGGTTTCCTTTTTTTGGGACGACTGAGTGGAATTTCATCTGCATAACATAAAACAGAAGTATGGGTGCACAGCAAAGGGAAACCTCCATTTCCTTTTTTTTAACAGCCATCCTATTGCAAGTTAAGAAACAGATTCTTTTTTACAAATGATGATATCCTTCATCTTTTACAGGTAAGATGACAATTCATCAATTCACACAAAAAGTAGTACAAAAGATGGGAGGAAAACAGGGTAAGAAATATGTCTTATGTGCAGCAAAGGCTCAATACATACATACACATGTGTTAAGTGAAAAACTGAAATACTTTGAATAATGCTCTGAAAAAGAAACTTCTTGTTTAAAGGACAGTGGCAGTATTTCAGTTATCTCGATGGAAATAGCAAGCAGTGAAGAGAACAAAGCAAAACAACAGTTCTAGCAATGACATTGCAGTTTAAATAATCAGCCTACATTTAGGAAAAGTATAAAGCTCTATCTTTAAAGAGAGAATGATGAATGAGTGGCACCAAAAGGAAYTATCAACTTGTAGTTCTCTTTAATAACTGACCTTGGTTTCCACTTCACATTTATGAAGATAACGCGTTGATGAGCGATGTAAAAGGAACAAAGATGAAAAGTTAATTTTGAATCAATTACAATTCACAACCATTAAATTCACACTGCTGCTTTTGTGTTCATTTCCTAATCCCCATTCCTCTTTATGAGCAGTTGTGTACGACAGGGTTAAGGGAACAAAGCAATYGGCAAGATTCAACACTTTGTTGGTGACTATGCAGAGTTTCTTGATTGGCTAGCTGTGGATCAGATTAAAAGCTTTAATCACCTGGCTAATTAAAACTTGTCTTACTGCCTGATATGTAACAAACCAACAAAAGTTATGAAACATTTGAACCCATACATGACTAAAAAGACACCATCTGTCGACAACCATAAACATCACATTTACTTTCAGGTATACTGAAGGAATTCTGAAGTACCATGTCATAAAAACTATGTAATTGCTTTTCCTTCCACACTGAAAAAAAGCCCAATTTTTTCCCTATACTACATCAAATTGATACCTACATCCCTATTAAAGAGTATCTAGTCTGATACCAGAAACTCCTGCTTTAAAGGATTTGTGATTCAAATAAACTAAACAATACAAAATGAAACAAAGTGAAATGAAGAAGAGATTAAAAAAGGACAATTGAACTATAGTATACATTAAAATTGGGATAATTGTCTAAAACTAAAGGGTTTATCTCTCATGAGTATTAAAACTGAGGTAATATGGTAATTTTCTTGGCTTCTGTAAAACTTWAACATATTTTGCATTCCTTATAAAGCATTTTGGGACAATAAATTAGCAAGAGAAGCAATTTCACTACTCAGATGTTTATTAAACTTATTTCTCTTAATGCTATTACTTTTAAAATTTGCAGCATCATGGTAAGTTCCACAGAATGCACTGATTTTACCTTGGCACTGGAGGAAGGGCACGAGGTGGACACTGAAARACAAGAGAGAGACAAAAGTCAACTTCTGTTAGCATGAAACCACCTCTCAGAAAACAGCTACAGACCAGAACATCCTAAGTATGTTTTGCTTCGCATGCCTCCTAAATGGCCAGACATTCCTGATRAAGATGTTACATAAAGTAGGATGTAAAAGAAGCTGGAATAATATGCCTTTACCAGAGTTCTGATAAGCACTGCAGTAGGAACTTATATCTAACGTGTGGTTAGGCACACTTGCATTTCAGCTTCAATAATTTTCACTTTTCATGTAAGGTACCTCTTCCATTAGAAAGCTTATTAGTAATTTTATTTGATATCAAAATATTGCAATAATTTATGCATTCGATACACCTGTACAAAATACAATGTGATCTGAGTATCTTCTATTAATTTGGATGTAAATTCATAACAATAATAAAAAAATAAAGGAAATATGCTCTTATTTCCTTATATAAGATCTTACAGTATATTAAAATACTTACATATATTATGAAATATTAATTTACCATATAATTTTGAAAATATTTACCAGGAGGTCAAACAACTAAAATCCGAAAGTATCTCCTGATAACAATCTGAAACTGAGCTCATACCTTTCATCTAGAAAAAGGAGGGGAGTTAACTTTCAAATTTTGTACTACACAATTATATTGAAAGAATACATACAAATAAGTATTTCCCAAGCTCAGAAAATTCAGCTGATAACAGAAATAAAAAAGGCTGTAAGACTGGTAAAACTCAAGGATCCAAAGACTTACCACTTGTTTCTTTCCCATATCATTTGAAGCTATTCCCTGAAAGAGGCACTGTGAACTGGTCTATGCTCTCTCACGCTGCTCGCATTGAACCTCAGCTAATTCTGAACTAAAAATAAACTTCAGGCAGCCAGGATTAGTTGGACATGAACCCTCCTGCCCCTGGGTTATAACCCAGAACTACTCCCATTTGAAACAAGGGCAGGTTGTTCCATAGCAGCAAATGTTGCTTGCACTAAAAAACCTGTAACTTCACAAGCTGGTACAGAGTCCTATAAGCAAATTTTACATTGGTTTGTTTACCTAAAGCCAGTGAGATGCCTCATGCAAGGAAGTGTTTGTGGGATTAGACTTCAAATCTCTCACTTGGATTTTGGCCACGCTGAAGACTGACAGCAAGTACCATTTACACAGGTAGAGAAATGCACACTGTAAGTGGCACCCAGCAAATTATTGGGACCAGTCACACTATACAAGTGCACCGTAAGGGAAAAAAATACTGGTAAAGGTCAGATCTCATCACTTTCATTGTTTCCAACATTCGTGTGGCAGTAAATATTAAATGCTTAGGATACTTGCTATTTAAAAAAACTAAAAGTTAAAAACCCCATAAAAGCAAACAAAACCCACAAACCTTCTATACAGCATTCAGTGCCTGAGCAGTAGTAATTMTTTAGTACTTCTATTTTATTGCCTTCTACAAAACTGGCAGGTGCATTGATTTCTGTATCATTTATTTCTGGCAACAAAGGAAACCACATGCAAGCAGCTTGTGGTTAATACTCATCTCTCCATCTGTGTGACAATCCCCAGCTCTGCCATAGAGGTATCAGCCTCGGTCTACTTGCAGCTTCACAGCGCCTTAAGTAACACACTCCAAACTTCATARAAAGAGTGAGTTTGGGGACAGGTACCCATGGACATTTTGCTAGAGTCAGAAAAGCCGCTGAGTGCTCTAACATAGCCAATGGTGTCCCCGAAGTCAAGAGATTCCCACAAACCAGGCAGTCGCTGCTCCAGTCAACCCCGTGTTTGCACAACTGAGCCACTGCACAAGAAGGTGGGACGCGCCTGCAAACTCAGGGGGAAACCGAACTACCCAATGCTCCGGGTATCCAT